TACAGAAGCAGCAGAAAACCTTAATGCAGTCATTTGTGACAGAATCGGCAATACATCTCTTTCCCAGTTAAAATCAGCAGGCAAGCCTAGTTTTTATAGACACACCTTCTGGTTCTTTGAAGGCCATTGAACAGGTATTTATAATAACAGGGCAAGTGGTCTTCCAGAAGACTGGTATGGCAGTCTATATAAGGAATCCATGTAATGACTCCATGCTTTGGAAAGAGTGGGTCAGGTATTATATGAGCAGATGCCTCTATGGAAACCAATTGTCCAGTTTCTCCTGCAGTCCAAGGCAAAATGGCTATGAAGAGCAGGAACCAGTGATGGGAGGGAAGGGAGATGCCTGTAGCAGTCTCAACCAGCCAATAGGACCTTGGAAGAAGCCAGTCCTTGATACCAGGAACATGAATGAGGCATTGCAGGTCATTCACATCGCAAGATTTGTTTCAGGAAATGATAGAAAAATTACTTTAAAACTGAACAGCTAAAGACAAATTTAGGTTTCTTCTGCAGTAGGCTGTGGTTGAGGCAAAGCTGCATCATGGTGACATGTCCTCTAAAAATGGCTAGTGGAGTGTCTTCATGCCACTGATAGCTGAAAGTGCAGATGAGGTATAAGTTACTCTTACATAATTTATGCCTCATCTGCACTCTTAGATAATGGTGGCATAATGGTACCACATTAGCAATTTTTAGAGCTGAAGGAAAGGAGGGAGAGCACAGATGAGTATGCTGGTTTCACGTTTATTGTCTTTGATCTCCTCAAATACACATAGAGGTGTTTCTGATGTTTCAGAGTTCTAAATCCATGGAGTCTTCATAAACAGGGAAGGCTCCCTGTTGCACATGGAACCTCTAATTGTGCATAGCAGCAAGAATAATATTAGGGTAAGCAAAATTAGTGTGGTCATTCTTGATCCTACAGAATAAGAGTGAGCAATGGGTGGTCTGTAAAATTGCATGTGGCCCCCAAGATCTCCATTTGTGGTTTCTTCATCATTCCCAGTTTTGTGCAATAATTGTGATGGAGTGTGTGTTTTAAGGGTGGGAATGGAAGCCTCCCAGTAGCATTCCT